CGGGCAGAGCCTGGCCCGTTGGGTGTCTCTTCGGCGTGGGCCTGCCCTGGAGCGCAGAACGCTCTGGAAGGGGCCGCAGTGACTCCTGAGCGGTGCTGTGCAGCCAGCACAGCCGTTATAGACATCTCCCCCCTAATCCTTTGTGCTGCTTAATTGAGCAGTGGAAGGGCAAAGCGTCGAAGGACAAGCAGTTGCGGTTTTGCTGCACTTTCACGTTTAAAAAGCATCTCGGGTGTGGTGGCTCTGAACCGAGGCTTTAAAGCCACCACCTGAGTCAGTCTCGGAGCTGCAGACCTGCAGCCTTTGGTGAGAACTTGCCCAGAAGTGTTGGATTCTTCTGATGTCTGATCCTGAAAACTGTATCTTAATGTTGTGATCTGACTTCTAGCATAGAATTGAATTTGGTAAATTGCACAGATTTATAGTAAAGCGGATTGTAAACTGTAATCTCAGCTTTCTCAAAGTTTCCTCATGGTAATGGCTAATATAAACTGTATTCTTAAAAAAACCAAAACCACAGCAGTGACTGTGAAAATCTTTGGTTCTAAATACTTTAATTGGAAGGTGGAAAGGAAGGTGTTCATTTCCTCTGTAAGTTGATGTAATTCAGTGTTGACGTTATATTCAATTTAGAAGTGTAGTATTGGCAAGTCCGACCAACCCCTGTGTTAGAGTACAATGTATGTGTGTGTTTGTGATGAGCTTGACTAGCTAAAAATGATTTTTGCTTTGTCAGAAAAAAGTCAGGAGGCTGATGAAGGACCAACTGTTCATCCTGTTGAGATGTCTTGTAGTACGTTGTTAATTGAACCAACATGCTCCAACTCTGAGATACAGAGAACTGCAAAAATGAGGAAAAATGATGCTACTTCCAGACATTTGGTGGGTGCTTAATTTTTTTTTTTAATTAAATTTCATACTTGTAAGCATGTGTTGGGAATGAAAAAAGTGTTCTGTTCTCTGGACTTTTTTACTTCCTGAGGATTACAACAATCAAAGTTGTGTACTCAGAATATCTGTTGTTTTATTAATTTGGATTGTATGCATACAAACATATTTCTGTTTGTAATAATTATGCTGCACTATTGGTTCTTTCAAATATACAGGTTGCTATTGCTACAGGAATATTTTGAACTAACAATATGGCAGTTGAGTTCAGTAATACAGACCAGAGAGCAGAACTAGACTTTGTTCTGTATCAGTAACTGCCACGAAAGTACCTGTGGAGGCCAAGGGGAATGAATGACTGTTTATCAGCCTTAAAGGCTCTCAAATTTGTCTGGAGATGTAAATCTAGTAGATACCTTGTGCTGGCTATAAGCAATATCTGTTTGTAGTGTCCTAGCAACCTATTTTATTTGAATTGTACAGCTGTGATGGAGTTGTGTTATCAAGATCCAAACACACAGATAAGTAAGCCTCAGACTTCTCCTTGGTGGCCAGTATCCTGTCCAGCAAAAAAAACAGTGTGGTTTTTTTTTTTTCCCCTAAATTTTGCCAAGTAAAATTCTTTCAGACAGTCCAATAAATAATGTAAGGAGCCAGTGGGATCTTTCTTAGGTTTTCTGTTGCACATCCAGCAACATAATGCTAGAGGGGACATGTTGGTCAACATCATTGTTCAGTAGGTAACCACACAGTGCAAATGAAATGTCAGCCTTCCCTGGAGCTGAGATTCCTGGGATGGGTGCTTAACTTTTACCAAGTAGAGACTCAAGCTGATACTGCTGCTTTCAGTACATAAGTATGTACTGAGCATGACTTTGGTGTGTTTAATTTGTTTAGAGTGTTGCTCCTTCCTGGACAAAGGAATTGAGAGAATGTTAGCAAGGCTTTTTGTTTGGTGTGGGTTTTTTTTTTTTTTTTTTTGGTTTTGTTTTTTTGGTTTTGTTTTTGACAAACAGGTATTTGTTTGTTAAACTTCTCTTATTTCTCTGTGTGGAAAATCTATAGCAAAGTGCTGATAAAACTCTTCTGTGAATCTTAGTCTTTTAGATACTTATTCCAAATGTCTGGGGAGGTGTGTGTTTTTTTTGGTGGTTTTTTTGGTGTTTTTTTTTTTTTTTAACTGAATTCTCTTTTCTGTAGCTGTTTTTCTGAGTGAGTAGTTACTAAAAAATTTCATGGAATGGGCACCATCCAGAAGATGGGTGATAATCTGCACTGTGTTTGAAGGACGTAACTGAACAAACTTATGTTCTAGTGTTTTCCACCTATCTTGTAACTGGAGAAGGATACTAAACAGTAAATACTGTTTCAGGGTCCTCCTGATGATAATGAAAGTGAAGAGTCAAAATCTACTCAAAGAAAGAGAGTGCTTCCATCTTGGATGCTGGAAAGAGATCTCCTGGATCAGGGGATTGCTGAGCCTGTGGGAGGTAGGTTTGCAGTGTAGTATGTTTGTGTACCAATCTACATTTATGTGCTTTGAGATCATGTTCTTAAAGTACTGTGGTGATGATAGTAAGTATTAATTTGATGCTTTTCTTTCCCTGCTCTGTTCCTGGCAGCTGACAGAGACTGACTTCTTTTGTCTTTGTCATCAGGCCTGTAGACCTGACAGAGCACTTTCTGATCAGCTGATTTTATTTCTGTTGATTGGTTTGTTGGGGTGTGGGGTGTGTGTGTTTGTTTGTTTGTTTTTTTTTTTAAATGCCAGGAGATATACTTCCTTTAGACAGCTGAATATCTGATGTTCTGGAGCCTTTTCCTATAAACTCACCTGTTTAGCATGTAAATTCTAGCTAATTTCTGTACCTTTAATTTCAACCCTTCTCCACATTTAAGTTACTGATGTATTGTCCTTCTGAACTGTCAGCCTTCTGATTTCACAGGTTTATACAGTCAAGTGGTGGTATGTGTTCATTCTTTTTAACTGTGACTGAATCAAACTTGATCACTTAGTCCAAAGTTACTTCTTAGGAGAAGCAGTTCATCATAGTACAGCAGTTTCTTACCAACATGAAGCCAAAGTAGTATTGAATTCCCTCTTGTCCTTCCTGCAAAAGGAAATTCTTGCATCCTAGGATGGTGGGGGTTGGAAGTGACCTCTGGAGAACACCTAGTGCAACCCCTGCCACAGTAGGTTGCACAGGCACGTGTCCAGGCAGATTTTGAAAGCCTCCAGAGAAGGAGACTTCACAACCCCCCGGGGCAGCTTCGTCGCCCTCACCTACGATAAAGTTGTGCTGCTGTTAATCAGTGGTCACAGGAGCAGAATGCTGTTTAGTCATTATCAACAGGAGACACGAGGGTGCCGTGTTGGCACGACCCCAAGGAGACTTTATAGTGTGTCCTGCTCTGGTTCTGGGAGCTTGTAAAGAGTTCAAAACCAGCCAGTAGATGTTCTCTGACAAACTTACCACACGGCACTTATTGCTCTGATGACTTACTGATGGAACGGGAGGGTAAAAAATGAGAGAAGAGGAGGAAATGACTGCATATTTTAGCAGTGCTTCCCCAGGGTTTGTGTCTTTCTCTCCACTGAGGGCAGCACGTCCCACTCTGCTCTGTTCTGTGGTGAGGCGGTTTAGGTGCTAACTGCTGAGTTTCCTTCATTAGTCAAAGTGTCTGAACTGTGGCTGCATGTCCACTCCTCTTGAGTCAAATACTTATTCTTTAATGCCTCTCTTTCCACTCCTCTTTCTGCTGAGGTTGTGTAGTGGAAGCATTTGGCTCTGGGTGCCTGAGCAGGCCTGCAGAAGTATTCCATGCAGTGTCTGACCAATTGCTCCTTGTCTCCTGCATTAAATGCAGGTGTCTGAGTGGACTGACTTGGGAAACTGTGGCTTTAAACACCTGTGTCATATGCCATTAGCTACACTGCTTGTTCCCTTCCTTGAAAGCTATTTTGAGAAAATTGTAATAAACAAAAAAAACCACCCTTTACTCCCCCCTACCTCCTTCCTTCCTCTTTCCCAAATCTAGACTGTTCCCTACTGACTTAACCCCTCTGATTAAAAATTGAATGTACTGTAAGATTTTCACTATGTCCTAGTGTGATTATTTTCTTATGGTGGGGTTTGAGTTTTGTTTTGGATGGGGTTGGGTTTGTTTTCTCCACAGATACTAGAATGTTTTTCATTTATGTGTGTATATAATGTTTGTTTTGAAGACTGAACGTTCTGATTGTGTAAGCATTGGGATTTGGAGCTGGGTGGATGAGGTGTATCTGTGCTCTTGAGGGAGCCAGGGGATATGTACCAATGTTACTGAAGCTGTTCAAAAACTCATTATCTGAGATGATTCCAGCTTAGAGTGGGCTGTTTTAATAAAACAACCAATCTTCGCTGCAAATCTAAACTATTCCCTTCAAATTGTGAAATGGTTTGCATCTTTTTGGGGTGGTATTGGGTGGGAAGGTAGAAGGGTAGAGAGTAAAGGTGAAAGGCTGCCCTTTTACTATTTTATGTCTGCCTTCTACTGGAAAGGTAACACTGATTTGTGGTTTTGAAGTCAGACATTAAAATGTGGAAAAATTTCTTGCTTCATACACATGACTCTGGCATGTCACTCTCTGAAGGGGGAGTTCTTGAAGTCTTGCAAAATGGCATCAACTGTCTTCCTTCCGAATGCCTTTTGCAGCAGGTGGGGTGGTCAGCGCGTGGCCATACCCTGATTTTGCCGTGTCCTACCTGATGTTTGTGTGTGAACTGATAGTCTCAAGTAATACTTGCACAAAAGAGCTGTGATAAAAGTTGTCGTTGGACACATGGTTTACTTGACCAGTGAAATGAAATTGTCAGTCCTGCTGCTACAGTCTGGGATATCCTTTGCCATGTATTTATGGTTCTCCTTCAAATTTTTGCCTCGAGTATCCATTTCATTCTAAAACATATAAGCAGGAAGTGAAAAACTGTTGAAACAGCACATGCACAACTGCTGCTATTTCTCATGCTTTAGATTTCTAATGTGGTTGGGATGTCACTGTGAAAGTTGCATTCCAAAAGTGCCCTTTTATTTTTGTTTTAAGATGGTAGAATGACAAAAGGCCAAGGAAGGCGAGAAAGTGATATGGAATCATTAGAATCAGAAGTAAAAGTGCAGCAGAAAAAAAGATCAGCCTCTGAAGAAACTATAGAGGATTTTGAAGGTGAAGAGCAAGATCAAGCCAAAAGGAGCTGTCTTTCCACCCCTGTCCCTTCACCTCAGGTAACTTTTTGGCTCGGAGCAGAACTGTGGCATCTAAAAAAATGAGAATGCGGTTGGCAATATCCTATTGAAGGCTGGGTCTGCAACATAACCACATGTTCTGCTTGTGATTTGTTGTTTAACAGTTGCTTTGAAATGCCAGTCCATTGGGCAGCTCTGTAGCAAGGATTGTGGAAACCTTCAGAGACTTTCTGCACTTCATTCTTGCAATCTGGTACTTAGGCCTCAAAAGCTCCACAGAAATACTGGGCTTTCAGCTTTAAAGCAAGAGGCTGGAAGACCTTGTCCGAAATGCTGGTCCTAGGAATGGCTTTGGGGTGTGGTTTCTTCTTCCAAGAACCCTTTAAGGGTAGGTGATGGTATCACGCTGATGTAATTCAGCACTGGACTTTCCCCAAACTAGTGCCATTCTCGTTGGTGAAGTTTTATGATCAGAAAATTATGGTATGTGACCTAGCAACTGCTATGCTCTGAGGAAAGGTAGCATGGAGTGTGCTTATGCCACTATCTCAAAATAGGAGTCAAAAAAAGCAAAGAGAAGAAAAAGTTATCTGAAATCCAAAAATGATCTGTGGTGGTGAGTGAACAGACACTTCAGTCCAGCTGGCCAATGTCTGTGTGTCCTCAAAGTACAGCTGCATTTATAGGCAGTTAAATACTTACTGGTAGCACCCCTAGTAATGCAACAAGAAGGATCAAATGAGCCAAGAAGCCCAGCTCTGTTCTAGGATCTGACAAAATACTTGTTACTAATAACTTGGTATGCATCATTGGTTTTGACACTGAAAACTACTGGGTTTTGGGGTTTGTCTTGTAATTAAATCTTAAGGTTAATTGGAATTATGTACTCATGGAGAGCATACCACTATGTTCTGTCAGAACTACCCTGAAGGGTACCATTTAACCTGAAACAATGTCGTGGGTGGTGAGTTTTCTTGTTGGCTAGGCACATTAGTACCAGCTGCAGTGCTGTTTTCTCTTTGTTAGATTATAAGGTGAGTGACTACATAATGAATTATTTCATTTTGCAGTTTGTAAGTATGAAACCTTACTTATTTTCTCCTGATGACTTCACAAGTAATTTTTATTTCAAGCAGGATTTAAGAAATTGACTTCAGAACTTTGCAGAAAAAATAATGGGGTTAGAGCAAGCTAAGGTCATAATCATAGAAAGCTCTAGAAGGTTGGAATTTTGATATTAAAACTAAAATCAAACTCCTGCTGGCATATTTAAGGCAATTGAGAAAATCTGTAGGGTAGGGAGTGAGAAGAATCTTAATTCTAAGTGCCAACAACCACCAGATGGCAGTGAGGTCATGCCCATGTAATAACCCGTGCCAGTGGTGCTGTTCTGCTTGCTTCCTTGACTGCAACTTGGCTTTTAACTAATCATCAGACTAAATGTGAAAGTTTTTACTGTCCTTATATACAATAAAGGCAACGGACTGAAGTATGTAGTAGGGAAGTCACAAATGGCAAAGGCAAATTAAAGTAATTCAGTCTGCCTTTTGCAAATGAAGTCTTATTTTCTGAACTACAGCTGATTCCTGAGCCTTATTTTGGGAGTCGTGATAGAAAAGCCATGTTTGTCTCTGAGCTGACTTAGTAAACACGCTGCTGTCAGGATCATTTGATTTTAGTGCTGATATTGCCCTTCCCTGACTACATTGAGCAATGTATTTGTCTCTGGTTTTGGTTAACATTTTATGAGGCTTGCATTGAAAAGAACAAAATCAAATAGGAAATCACCAGCTGATATTAAGCTCTGCCAAACACATCTGTGTAAACTAAATATAAATTTACTGGAGGGGGAACTTAGATAATGAACAAAGCAGAGACCCTTGAATAGTTCTGGAAGGTACTGGAGTATCTCAGCCATCACTATAGGTGTGCTTCTGGGTAATGTCTCAGTCGTTGGGACAGTGCTTCTGTCTTGACTACAAATCTCTTACTCTTTTTCTACAGCACACATCTCTTAAGTGCATGTATGTTCCAAAATTGAAAATGCAGTATTTGTCAAAGCTGAACTTTGCCTGATGGTATTTGACAAACTTTTTATGATTTAGTCGTATGTATTGCTACACATATCAACCTAGAGTCCCATGTATTGATAAATATATATTCCACATATCTTGGTGCTTAAGGCATTAAAATTGATTGTTGTATAAGGGTGTATGTTCTTCTAGAGTCTACTATATCTTTACGTTTATAGTCCATGCTCATTTTTCAGGAGCAGTACTTTTAACTGGAAATTAATTCTAACTGTAGTTCTTGCACTGTTCACAGAGGTGGTAAGAGAGGAACCTGACTGTGTTGTGAGGGAGCTGAAGCTGAGGACAGGAGCTTGAGAATAAGTTTTTCTTTAAAGTGTGTGTGTCTCCTTAACTTGAGCCTTTCATTTAACAGCTGTATTTAGCATCTAACTTGAGTTTGGGAAGTGGAGTAGAAGTTTTTAAAGGCTGAACAAGATGATCTTTTGAGGTCTTTTCCAACCTGGGCTGTCCTCTGATTTTGAAACTGGGAATGATGAGGCAAAGTTTCACCTTAAAGCTTTTAATTCTGAAGAGTGTGAATTTTCAGGTCCTTCAAAATGTAACCTTGTTCCACAGAATACAGCTGGATTCCCTCTTGAGAGTCCTATGAGAAACATGGAAGGAAATGGCAAGACTGGAACAAAAATCCCTGGAAGTTCTCTGGAAAACCATGATAGGCAGCTGCATAGCAAAAGGTCTAAAAGAGCAGGTCAGATCTCCAGTAAAGAATATAGAATTGAGGAAAGAGAAAACAAAGAGCAGATTTCTGGTTCTACAAGCCAACAAGCTCACTGGGGCAGGACTTCCCAATATTTTGGTGCCCAGGAAGGGGCTCTTGAGCCTGATGCAAATCCGGATTGCGAGACTGAGATCTCTGATTCAGCCAGAAGTGCAGATGCTCCGGAAAGCTCCAAACAGATCAAGCATAAGAGGACACCTTGCATGTATGGAACAGGCTGTTACAGGTAAAGCAAAATTAAAACTAGCTTAAGATAGCTTGTTATTAAGAAGTAATGTATTAGCTATGGAAGAGAAAGCAGTCAAGTCACTACGAGCTTTGATTTGCAACAAATCTATTGTTAAGCAGGGAACTGATGAGAGACAAAAAGACTAAAAGAGGACTCAGGTTACCTTGCTAACTGCTAATAAAGCCCACACAAGGGATGAAGTGCTTCAGCATATTAGAAGATGATCTTTTGTAGGAAATGAGGAACAAAGATCTGTTTTAAAAAGAAAATAAACAAAAAACTTGTGTGAATGGTTCATGTAACAGCAGGGAGAAGAGATTAATGGTTGAAATGCCCAACATGGGCCCTGTAGGCTTCTTCTGTTAACAGATGAAACTTCTATGAAAGATGATTGCATTTATTGTAATTATTGCATGCTATGTCATCTGAATATTTAAAATACATATTCATCATCCTTAAAAAAAATCCAGGATTGCTTTTATTATAACTTGGCCAGTCTGCATGCTTTTTTTTTTTCCTTTTTAATCTGTCAGTCTCCCACTATAACCAGGACAAGGCATACTTATAAACTCCATGGTAACTCTTATCTGATTGGTGTCTTTGGTAATACTTAAGCAAAGAACAATTTTTGTTTTTTCTTCCCCTCCTTTTCTCCTACTCGTATCCTCTAAATTTGCAGTGAAATATCTGTCACAGAGATGTTTTGTGCAATCCAAACATTCCAGTGAAGTTCCAAAACACCCTTGCTGAGTGCTTGGCCTCCTGCTGGTTCTTTCTGCCACTTCTTTCTGTCGTGCTATGTGTGGGTATACTGAAGGGAAGATAGAAATCTAGAGGTGTTGCAGATGCTAGCAAATAGCCAATGATCTGAGAACTGTATCTGGGAGAAGGTTTTGAGCTCTGGATAAATCCATGTACACTGTAAGCACAAAAGACAAGGCTAATCCAGGAAACAAGGTCCTGTGATTTTATTTTTTTAAAAATTACTTAAAACCCCTTTTTTTTCTCCTCCAAGGGTTTTGAGCAATAGGAAGAACAGTGGGGTTGTTTAGGACACAAGTAAGTGGGTTCTTGTATATGTTTGGTGTGCCTAATGCTGCAGATACTGGCAAAAGCATAAAGCTGTTGTGTTAATGGACACATTACACTTGCAATTTTCATGTAACTCTGTCACGTATTTCCATTTTTACCTTTAATGATTATGATGAAAACATGTTTTTTTAGGCCTTTAAGCTGATCCAGTAGTACAAATGCAGCCTCTAGTTTGCTCCAGCTACTTTTAATTTTGCTCAGGCAAGATTTCCCCTGTGTGGGAGCTAAGCTGATTTTATGCTCTGATAAGCTGAAGGATTCTTAATGTTTGGGAAGGCAAATTCTAGTTGTAATATGAAATAGGAGTCTGCATGTGCACATTTCTTGTTATGTCTTCACTCTGAAACGTTTGGCAGCAGCACTTTTGGAAAGTATTGCTTTATAAGAAAAAAGAACGCTCTGAAATAACACAACAAGGTCTTATTTTGTTGGAGAAACTTGTAAATAGGAAGTATAAAAACCATCAGCTTTGATCTTCTGGAAATGTCACGAGACTAAACCTGCTTGTTTGCAGCAATAGAAATATGCTTTGTAGTCTGTCTTAGCATTTGCTTTTAATGCAAGACCACCAAGTAGTCTGTGCCTCAGTGGGGTAGCCATGTCAGAGTAAAACAGGTCATTGCAGTTACCCATATTCTTAACAGCCCATGTTTTAAGTGTGCTGTGAGTGGATGCTTTGAAGAAACACATTGATAGGGTATTCAGTTTTTCATTGTGTAGTGTTTCCCTTGGGGGAAGAAATAGTTTTTAGAGTTGCTAAGGAAGAGGAACTGCTTTGAGTGCTCTTCTGAATACAAAGAGTAGTTGGTTTCTCTCTGCTTCATTACTTCAGCCTTAAGAAAGTTGTCTTCTATCAAGATATGCTGTAGGAGTCAGCATCTTAAATGAGTACTGCTTTAGTGACTGTAACATTTCCTTGAAGTTTGTCCTAGGGGAGGTTTCTTTCTCATAAAAAAATTTTTCCAATAACTAAATGTTCTTCAGTGTTCTAGTCTTTATTTTATAAGCTCCTATTAAGAAATATTGTTTTCTGGCTATGACTTTGGCACCTTTTGTAGTTGCCTAGTAAAACAGCACAAGTTGAAAAAATTAAATGTTAGTCCCCTTAATTTTATTAGATTTCTCTACACACATCTTAAACATTTAGGAAATAACTTTGTAACTCATAGTTCACTTTCCTTATGAATTTCAAGACGCTGCTTTTGAAAGAATTAAGCCTTATACACACTTCTCCAGGGGTGCTTCTTGTCATCATCCTTCAGTGTCAGATTCTTTTTCTGAGGTAGCCTGAAGCTTTGCCAAAGAAAGGAGTTTCTTTCAGAAGAAACTGCTTTTACCACTTGGAGGCAAAGTGCTCTGCCTGTTTGGTGTCTATTTTTGCTGTCAAGGAACTTACTTGTATACTGTCTTGTGTTCACTTTCTTGTCTGCTGCTTGTTTTTCCAAAGCTAGAAGAACAGGGAATTAACAGTAAAAATAAACCCAGTCCCACTTTTCAAGGGCTGCTGTAGACCTGGACTCTCATCTCTAGAACAGTAATTCACAATTTTTGTCCACAATTCTATCCTTCTGCTAGCCTCTGATCCAGGTCTCTGCTGGCTGGGGGCGTGTAAATTGTTCCCACAACTGTCAAAGTAGGGCATGCTCAACCAACCTTTGGATTTGTATGTGAATTTTTCTAAATACTTTGCTGTGTTTGTTTATGAAAATAAGTGGTTTTCCTTTCACATTGAGCTTGTAAATCTGGCTGTGTCTGGCTTGGTTTGAGTCCTGTCTTCTAGTAAGACATTATTTAAAATTTATGGACATTTTATGTACAGTTGTGCCATAACTTCAAGCTCAAATTCTGTGGCTTTGTAACTAGTGCTTGTCATTAATTACATCTTCACTACCAATTTCTTTAGCAGCTGGAACAAGAAGCCCCTGAAATGGCAGAGGTCTTCTGCATGCAGTTATGAAGAGCCAGAGGTTCTGACCTTAGCAGTTCAACTTGCTTTTGGAAAAGCTTTTAAGATGCTCTTGGTAGCTGCACAGACAAAAAAAAAACCCTTAAAATTTCACTGAGCAATACTCAACTTATGCTTGAGATGACTGCACTGGTTCTGAAGAACTTAATCCATTTTATTTGCAGAATTTTTAATCTGCATAATTTTCTACACAGTGAAGTGTGAGTATAGGCATTCAGAGCTCCTGGGAGAGCAAAGCTGCAGTAGCTGTGTATGTGTATCAACAGGCACCTCTCCTGTAAAACTTTATTCTTAAAATAGGATTTTAATTGGTTAATTTTCATGTGACTGAAGCTTAATGATTTTGTTTTGATGAAATGAATAACATATTCCTGTGCAGTGAGGATTTGTTGTGGAGCTAATTAACTTTGGAGTGCAACGTAGAGTGTGATAGATGTGCTCTTACAACTCAAGTCTCTTGTGTCTAAATAAATAAATAAAACTAAACAACAAACCAAAACAGACAACCCTCAGGCAAAACAATCCCTTATTAAAAAGTTGTTTTAGATTTTTTGCAAGATGGGGAAAATATTTGCTTAATATAAGCTATGTACTTCTCCAACTATTTATTTTGCTTGCTATCATTGTATAACACATAGAGATGAAATAAGTACAAATTATCCAGGTGAAGGTAATGTAGAAAATGTTTCTACTAATCCTGAGCATCTGAAATAGGATGTGTTTAAGGTGCTTTACAGGTAATGTATAATTTGAGGAACATCATACAGTGGCTCAGAGAATCCTGAAGCCTGGTGATAAGGAGCATAAATTGGGACCCTTTTGTTTCTCTTCCTCCCACACTACTTTTTTTTTTTTTTTTTTTTTTTTTTTTTTTTTTTTTTTTTTTTTTCCCTTCTCCTAAGTTTCAGACATCCTTGATACAGAATCATGTCCAAGTAGGTTTCAAAGTAGTTTGTTTGAAAGGAAATGTCTATCTCCTAAAATACAACAGACTAGCCAATTGACACCACCTTTCCTCGGTGAGTCTGTTGCTACATGTATCTTATTGCAGGAATACATATTACAATGATTTCACAGAACATTAGTTGCTTCTGTATCCCTTTGAGAAGATGAATTGTGTTTCAAATGATGGAAAATTCCTGCTCATACTGTTGGTAAGTTAGCTCTGTGCATGTAGAAACCAAAGAAAGCAGCCTCTAAAATTACTGTTTTATCTCATTTATTTTTAAATGAGAAAAGAAGTAGGCAGCCACTCTGCATTTGGTGTAAGAAGTGATGTTTCTTGGGAACTAGTTATAGGATAAAAGACTGGTAAATGCAACCTTCCCATGATTTTTAGTGAAACAGTATTTAGTGACCCTACTGTCTGCAGAAGTCAACAGAAAAGACCAGGACAAGAAGCTTGTCACCTGTGTAAATAGATCCAAGGGACACTGGATCTTTGATATTGATGTAAATGAATCTCTTCAATGAGTTATATCTGTCTTGTTGAGTTTCCCAAGTGAAAGAGGCAAAGCAAGTGGACACTTAAAGTATGAATACTAAATATCTAGTAATTTTTGAATGCCTGAATGACTGTATTGCTCAGAGCACTCGAGAAATCATTCTGCAAAAGCTGTAGCAAAAGCTTTATTTCTTTCTTATAGTGGTAACTGAAATGCTGAAATTAATGTTGGCTGCTCCCTATAAACTTCATAAAAGGTAGTTGTGAATTTAAAGGAAATAGTGCCTGTGATCAGTGAGGAAGCTGTTTATGTATGTAGCTAGTTACATACATGTTTCTAGCTTTGTGTAAGTAGTGTAAATTAAAACATTAATTATGCTGTAGTTTAAAAGTTCTCATTCCTCTTGTGAGGCAAGTGGTTCACTTATTTGCACGAACTCATTGAAGAGTACGTACCTCTGGAATTAGTGTGCTGAATGACTAAAGTATTTTGTGGATGTCTTTTGGAAAATAATTTATTAAAATATCTCACGTTTCTTGCTTTTAAGTATTACGCTTGAAAAAAGGTGTTTCTAACAGAAATCATAGGGTTTCTTTTAGGATAAGATCACAGAAATGAAAGTAGATTTGCTTTTGGTACCATCATGTTCACTTTGATGTAATGTTTTGTATTGTTTTGATCTGTCACATGAATTGCTTCTGATGTTGTAGCATGTTTTTTTTGTGTTTTTTTAAACACCACCGACAGAAGTTTTACAAAGCAAATTTGTCTCTTAAGTGGTGTTGTTTATAGCTGCCTTGTCTTGCATGGTGTGTATGCAAACCCATTGCCTAGAAGCAGTAAAAATGCTCCTTCAATGAGGCATATATTTGATTCACTCCTTGCTCACCTTGGATTCAACTGTGTAAGTGTTACAGAGCACAAAGCTGTGGATGCTGATATCGTTCTCATCTCTAGCATTGGTGTGACTCAACTAGAAACAGGGTTGTTAAGTCTGATGGTACAAATTCATGTCATTATTTGAAATATGAAATTACAACAAAATGTACCAAGGCAAACCTGACAGCCTAATTCATGTAGTGTCCAGGAGACTGCTCCACCTGGAGTAATATGCTGACATTTGAAGTATTCAAGTGAGTGGTAACTTGCCTCAATTGTTACATCTTTTCTGTATGCATGTTGCCTGAAGCTAACTGGAGATCAGCAGAGGGTGTGGGAGTCTTTCTGCACTGCTGCAGTTGTTTGGATGTCATGTGTTGGCACTTCCAACTTGAGCTAAGACTTTAGTAGCAGTTTTATAGCACTTTGATAGCTCCAGGAGGAGTCATAACTGAGCAGGTTGGCCACCGAGTAAGGTTCGTGCTACATGGCTGCATAAGTAGTTTCTGTACATGTTGGAACTTAAAGCTTAAAGCTGTTGGCAAACAAGAAAATTCCTGGTTTAACTTCTTTTGCAGCACTTGCTGAGACAAACCTTCCCTTCTTGAAAGTAGGTCTTACATTCTGCATAAACATTAAAAGGTGGTCTTTGCTTAACAACGGAAAAATGAGTTGTGATTGATTCAGTAACACCTTTCTTACCTCCACTTGCTGTGTTTAAATGGAATAGTCAGTTCTGGATATCTGTTTGTCTCTTGCAGGAAGAATCCCATTCACTTCCAGCAGTTCAGTCACCCTAATGATGATGATTATCATGAAGCAGGGATGGTAACTCAGGAGAACAATGATAACCGGCCTGAATGTCCCTATGGAACTGCTTGTTACAGGTCAGAAACATAGACAATGGCTTTCCTTGCTTTACAGGTCACAAATATTCTTCCATGGAGTTTCAAAATGACAATAGAATAATGAGCAATTCTTGGTGTTAAATCTTAACTAGAGCCTTCTGAAACGTACTGTGTGCTGCTACTTTTGCACCAAAGTCTGTGCACAGTGTTTGCTAGTGATTTCAGCTGGTGAACGTTGAAACTTGACTTTTGGAACCTATTTGGTGACCTAGAGATCAATGTTTTTTTCCCTTGTCGACAGGTACTAAATGGTTCTTCTTTTATGTAAGCAATTTATTGTTGCATGTTGTTCTTGATATGTAACTCTTAGTTTAAATTTGATAAAGTATATGTTGAGATTTTATACAGAAACTCTGTTAACCAGTATTTGATTTGTTAGAAAACGTAATGTAAGTAACAGCATTAAAATTCAGTTTATGGCTGACTGGTACAATTTCTTTTAAGCACTATTGTTCTTCTTCAAAAGATTGTTTTATTCCGTTTTGTTTCTCAGTCTCTAGGTTTTACATTTTTATTTAGCAGAGTTTAATGATTGCTCAGTAATAACTGTCCATTGTTTCAATAGATTGAAACAATGGACAAAAAGATATATTTTGAGGCAATGAAACTTCCTTGGGGACATTTGCCATGGAGTGGTGAACTTCACTTGTAAGAGAGAAATAGCAATCTGTTTATTGATATAAAACAACAATTTAACAAAGCTTGATAATAAATGGGACAGTGGTTTAACAAGATTTGATGGCAAAGTGCGCTGGATTATTGACTGTATGGAGGACAGAGTTAGGAAAAACTGTCAGGAAGAACTTCCCACTGAGTTGTGAGGTTCAGGAAGGACCTCCTTGCTTTCTAAACTCCTCACAGAGGAGTCTAGGCACAGCTAGATCCAGTCCTAGTCCCAGACTTGGTCAGCGGTTTATGTCTAAAGGATTATGTGTCCACAATCAATCCTTTCTATCACTTAGCTAAGATTTCAAAGTTTAGCACTTACTGAGAATCTGTTGCAGCAAGGAATCTCTCAGCCTCGAGGACTGACCTTGAGAGGCATCCCTACTTAAGAGGAGATCCTCACTTGTGACCTGCTACTGTGCAGGAGAGCTCAGAGGGCTCTGGGCTGTCCGCTATATATGGAGTAATATAATTCACTTATGGTCATATTTACGTACCAACTCCAGAAGTTGGTTTCTTTCAAATTTGAGTCAGACATTTGTCAGCTTGTGGTTAGGTGGGCACATAGTTCACAATAGCCCTTGTCTATTGTAGTGTTAGCTTTCTCCCCCAATCCACCTTGAAGCCACTTCAGGTTCAGGGCAGCCAGGACGACCAGACACATCTATGACAGCCACCACTGGTGGCTGTCACTTGAGCAGAGTTAATTAGTAAAGGGTAGCTTTTCAAAGAAAGCCATATTATATTCAGTGGATGAGGAAGAAATATTTATGTTCTGAAAAACATCTATGAGATTAATTTCTCATCCTAGGATGAGAAGTCTTGCCAACATACTTTTCAGGAGTACTTTATCCTGAACTATGGATGCTTTACCCAAACCCCAAACTGCCTCTCCTTCTAGATAAGACAGCACCAGTGTTGTATTAATTAATAACTAATTATTAGGCCTAGAGAAAAGCCTCTAGTACTCCAACATGACAGATTAGCATAATGTAAGTTGGGCCAAGTTAAAATATTAGAGCAGCATTGGATAACTGGTTGGGGAGTGGGATATAAATCAGTGTGTTAATGACCTGGATCAATGCCTAAATGAGGGAAACGTTTATATTGCAGATCCAAGAGTAAGTTGACTTCTAATTTTTCTTTAGTTGCTTTGATGCTATTTTTTAGTAGAAGTCGTATACACTTGTATATTGAACTTGCTGGATTGCAGCAGCCTATTGCAGAAATCTGCTGTGGCCTCTCCCTGTCATCCTTTGCAACAAGCAGCTCTTTCCAAATAAGAGCTCTAATTTTCCCATTACATTGCAGAGCACAGGAGCTATGCCTGATGTCTCAGAGCTGTGATGCCCTGTGCATGCATTGTGCTTTGTGCACCAGAATTTATGTTCTGCTTTCATTTTTTGACAGAGTGAATAATTGGATAAGTTCTTATCATGCTGAACAAATGCATTTCAACAACTTTGGAAACTATCTCAACTCTTGATTTTGATCAGTCATCTATTTTTTTTTTTTTTTAATACTGAATTGGAGAAGAGGAACTCTTATTTATGGATTTTTTTTTTTCTCACCGTATGTTCTATAGTTGAGTCACTGCAGTAAGGCACTGGTCACAAAAAATTCCTTTAAAATGAAATTAAATTTATCCATAAAACATGAAGTTCTGGGCTTGTTAAGTTTGAAACAAGGTGGTGAATCAAGCTTTTCCTGTGTTCTTTGCAGGAAGAATCCCCAGCACAAGCTAGAATACAAGCACAGTTCACCTCCAGGTAAGCCAAGTTGTTCAGTATAGCTCAATGTGTGAGGTGGAGCCCTTGAAACTAAATAATGCATACCAAAAATTTGGACTAAAACGCTTTCAGCTATTGTTAGTGAGTAACACTGCATTTGCAGCTTACTTTGTAAGCTTACAAAGCTTCTCTCAAGCATGAGGTCTTGCCCTTGTCTGGGATAAGGAACGTTGCTTGGCCACCACAAACTTGCACTCACTTTTTCAAATGTTTGTCAGCTGAAGTGAGAAGAGCTAGGTCAGACTCAGTTGACATAGTTTATATGCTTTATATCTTGTGAATTGACAAAAATGCTGTGTGGCAAGTGGCTGTTTTCATGAGTTAATGGGTTTTACTGAAAATGAAACATGCTGTAGTGTGGTATTACTGGATCTCTGTATTCTACTGCCTCCATTCAGAGCTAGAGTATTACTAGGAAAACCAGCAAATGTATTTAGCTGGTACTGAAGTATTCCCAACATTTCAAATGGACATTGCAGGAAATCTTTTTTTTCTATGGCTTTTATCCCATCCACACAGCAGAATGTGTACATGGAAATATTTTAACCATATAGATTTGTATTATAAGATTTCGTACTTAGTTTTTATTCTTACTTTTATTTTGATAGGAAATCCTTAGGTAACATACAATTGTAAAGTCTTGTGATGCTCTAAAACAAACATTGCAAGCCTGTTTGTCATCTTTTTTTTTTTTTTAACCAATGGTTTTCTTACTACGAGAACAAATTTTTGTGTGTGTATTCTCTTCAGGCTTGGAGGAGGTATAATTAAAACTGAATCTGAGTTTCTAGTCTAAAATTTTCTAATCTTTAGGTTGCAATAGGTAGACTTGTTGAAAAACACAGGAGGGTGTACTATTTACATTTTGTTTGTTCTTCAAAAATTCAGAGAGACACTGCATTTTTTTGTACTTTTCATTGGTTATTTAAGGGATTCTTTTTTCATTTGAAATCCCAATGCAATAAACAACACTTCAGAGTGGAATGGTTATGGAAATTTAATGATGATGTGTTTTACTTCAAAGAATCAGAATTATGACATTATTAAGGAGAAATTACATTTATGGAAACAATGTAAAAATATTTTAGTGCTTTGAAATATTCCAGTTTTCTGCTTAAAACAACACCACCAAGCAGTATTGATGACATTTGTCTACCCATGGACTGATCCATAATGTAAGAACAGTTCTGTGTAATCTCTCAGGAATTTTTCAATATAAAAACTTGTTCTTTTTTTGAGACAGGGGTGTTATTAGGCTTGTAAATACAGTATAATCATTAGAGCATTTATTTTAATAGATCAGTCTTCTATTGTTTCTATGAATAACCCTTGCTCTAGGGTGTACCCTGTCCTGACTAATAACTTTCCTTACTTTAGTAACTGAAAGAAGAACCCGACAACAAACTTCAAGGAATGGTGAGTGTGTTCTTACGTTATGAGTGGACACATCAGCATGAGACACAATTGATCTGCATTGGGTTTTGGGCATTTGGTAGTGCTGGAGATGCTTGATAATACTTACTTGAGGAGAAAATAGTTGTTTACTTTGGTAAAACTGTGCTGGACTGGCTCTGAGGGCCAGGTTTGCCTGTCAAAGAAGAGCAAGTTGCTGATTGGTGTTACTGACTACAGGCAGAAAAAACATGAAGAACTGAGGCAATGGTTTAGCTTTTTTTTTAAAAAAAATAAAAAAGGGTCTTTGCAGTGTGATGGCATTTTAGGGAACAAGTGAGACCTTCTAGGGGAAGATTGAGTCCAGAAGAAAAATCCCATGGACTTTCCGAACTGTTACATGCCAGAATGGAACATAGTCCCCAGTCCACCAGGTATGGGGGATGAGCTCTGTGAGCAGGCTGTCAGGCCTCCCTGCCTGCAAAATCCATCCTCTGGGCATAAAGTCAGTTAAGAAGAGTTAGAGTTTTTTTTGTGCATCCCTGGAAACAACTTTTCCTTATCGGCATAAATCAGAAGTGACTGCACAGGCATCATATTAGAGGAATTTGTAGTGATTCTGCCCTTATCTTCTGCTGCTTGGGTAATGTGGAGGTGAAGGAGGAAATCTGGCAATACATAGAGGGGTTGAAAAGATGTTCTCCCTCCTTAGTGTGTTTATTATTGAATGTGTGTGTTCATGGAGTCCAGAGGAGGGACACAAAGATGATCTGAGGGCTAGAATATCTCTCCTATGAGGATGGGCTAAGAGAGTTGGAGTTCTTCAGCCTGGAGAAGAGAAGGGTCTGGGGAGACCTTATTGTGGACTTCCAGAATCTGAACCGGGGCCTACAAGAAACCTGGGGAGGGACTATTTACAAGGGCAGATTGAGATTAGAAATGAGGAAGAAGTTAGTGACCAAGGATGGTAAGAAACTGGAACAAGTTGCCCAGGGAGGTTGTGGATGCTCTGTCACTGGATGTGTTCAAGACAAGGTTGAATGGGACTTTGAGCACCCTGGTCTAGTGGGAGGTGTCCCTGCCCTTGACAGTGCTGGCCCAACTCTGTGGTCTATAATCACATTGGGGTTTTTTTTTCCCTCAACTATAGTTTCACGTGAAAGATGGTAAGAACTGCTCAACACATAAATTCATCTGTATATTGAGAGATTACGTCTAGATGAGATAAGAATGCAAAAATTGGAGAGGAATGAACATGGTTTTACCTGGAGGACACGTAAGGGCAGAATAGCACTGGATTGGAAAATTCACTGTGGCTAGTTAAGAATTATGGACATGTAAGAAAAAGAGAGATAGTGCAGGAGTGAAGAGCAAGGGTTACACATGTCTGCCAAGATCAGGAAGCAGCAGGAAAAAACTTGTTTAAGGCTCACAGCTACTGATAAATCAAAGGAGAAGGCAATGTTGCCATGGCAGCAGCTTTGTATGGACACTACCAAGTCAGGTAGGTAGGGCTTCTTCAAATAGCAGAATTGTCCTGCCTCTGGGAATTGGTTTCCTTGTGCCAACATATTCAAGCAATTAAAAGAATACTGCAAGACAAGCTGACTAAAGTTTAGGGGCACACTGTGAACAGCATCCATTCTTTGTAAATAGAGGTTTCTGAGTCTTTGATTCCTGCTAATACAGAGTACTGTGAAATACTGCAAAGGCAGAAGGCAGTTAGATCATAAAACATAAGCTGTGAGGAAGATGGATGGACAACAGGTTGGAGAGCAGCAGGATAGAATAGACTGAGCTGGAAAGAGGTGGGTGGGCTGCACCCAGCTTGGGGAAGAAGTGCTCAGCATTTGTTGTTTCCTTAACCTGTGTCCAGAAAGGAAGCACAGACCCTCCAGTGTGGATCCAAGGTGAGAATGCAGGAGGAGGGTGATAGAGCAGATTCCCTTCTCTTCTGAAGCTCAGGAAAGAAGAGAATGGAAATGAAAAGCCACGTCAGAGTCCAAAGGGTGTGAGTATAAAGTAGCCCTGAGTAAGTATGTGTGGATGAAGGCAGAAAATGTGGGGCCAACACAGCCACAGCTGGAGGCTAAATGATGAGACAGATATGTTGCTCAGGTACAGAAGTAGCAGGAAGGCAACGAGGAAAATTGTGTGGCACTCCTTAAGGAAAGGGGAGTTATCAGAAGACATTTTCTGATACCAGAAGATGGTATCAGAAGAGGGCTGATACTGTTTTCCAGTGTTGGAAAAAAAAGCCCGTAAGGAGAACTTTCTAAGTTCTGAGGTCAGACTGGTATGTGCTGCCATAGGGATCAAAGAGATGATACAGCTTTTCATGAGTCATGAACATCAAAATTGTCAACAATGGCTAGAGGGGGTTTGGTGGGTTTTTTGTTGGTTCTTTCTCCCCTTGAGGAGAGACACTAACTAGACTGGCTCTGGAAGGCCTCGTTCGTTCTGTATTTGCCATTCATGAGTATGTGACATTTTTGTCCCTACAGGAAAAAGGGCTGTGGAAAAAGATGGTGCCAGTGATGATGAACCAAATGAATATGACCTTAATGATGGCTTCATAGATGACGAGGAAGAAGAGTGTGAGCCTACTGATGAAGACTCTGACTGGGAACCAAGTTCAGAGGAGAAAGATAATGAAGATGTTGAAACGCTTGTGCAAGAAGCACATAGATTTGTTAAGACCAAAAAGTAGCTGCATGGAGCAACTTTATCAGTGTCCAATCTGGTTGTGTTAGAACGTGGATGTGCAAGGAGAGGACTTGCTTTGAGAACTGGTTTTTCCTCAGTAATGTAGGTGCTTACAGGGAGACTTTGCTGCGGGTGAGGGGATTCAGCAATGCCTTCCTTTTCTGTGTTAAGATTTTGTACATGGGGGTTTTTAAGTGGTGGGACCAAAGGACTGAGGTCTGGAATTTTAGTTTAGTTTTTCTCACCTACTTCTTTTGCAACACCATTGGTGTCTCATAGTTTGAAATACAATTTTAAAGGCTGTTAATGCTTCATCTTCTGTGCTTGAAATACTGGCATGAGGAAAGACTTTTGTTTTGCTGAAACACAACATATACTTTGTTGAGTGAAGTTGAGTTAGATTTCATGCCCTCAGAATTGCAGACAGTTCTTGGCCATCACTGGGGAATCTGTCTCAACCATTTTTTGATGTTCTTTTGAATTAGTCCCATTTTAAACTTCATTAGTTTGCTACTAGCTTTCCTTTTAGGGTTCATCTCTTTAATCCTCTTGATGTGCAGTAGTTAAATGCAGGTTGTCTAAATAACTTGAGAACAGCATCTCAATATGTCAAACCACTTGGTTGTCTCAACAACAGTTCTGGTGTATTTGCTCTAATTATGGTAGTGCCTCTCTCCATGCCTGTACATCGCTGGAATTCTGTCAGTTCACAGCAAAGCTGAACCCTTGATGACTGTATTTTTGCACAATTAAGCTTGGAACATACTGTGGGAAAAGTGTGTAACTGTGTAGCTCTGATTTCTAAAGACTTTATTGGAAGATCTTTCCTTTGGTGTGCTCACAACTCTCCTGGGCTTTCACAAAAGCAAGTTAAAAAGTTTTGGTGTGTTTCAGGACAGCTGATGTGAATTTGGTACTTTTTTGGCCACAATCCTGGAGTTCAGCACTTGTGTGGCTCTGGCTCCCCTGTGGGCACCTGCCCAACCATGGCTGAGAACAGGCATCCAAACACACTCGGGCTTCACTTTGCTGTGGGTGGCCAACGTAGACATCAAAAATAGAAACGTTCACTATGGCCAACTGTTCTGAATTT